CCTACTGCGTTTAATTTGTTTGAAATTTCTTCCCAAAAATGATTCAATTCGCCTGGTGCTATGTCGGGGTGCAGCTTCATTTCACTTACTAACACTTCAAGTTGTTTTTTGTTGGTGTGTTTTTGTCTCTTATCTCTAAAATATCAATTTAAAATATAAATGATTGCGTCATTAGCAATTGTTTTTAAAAATACTTGCAAATTATCCATTTTTTTTAAGAATTCCGCAACGCACTCACSAACGGATTGATTTCGACACAAATTTTCGATATTGCGGTATCAATGATTTAGAAATTAGCGACATCTATGTGCCGCGGAAAGCATTTTATCAAGTCGGTAAGTGAGTTCACTTCGATCGAAAATTTTATTTTCGATACGGTTTCAATGATTTCAACGGAAATTTTTTCGATCATATCGAACCATATTTCGATCGAAACGGATTCAATGATTAGGCCCATTAATTGTTAGCTGGTCACTCTATTGCGCATATCCACCACAGCATTACTCGTTATTCTTATTCCTCATTTCCCTTTATTCTTTAATATGTTTATACTTACATACATGTGAGAACAATTAAGCTTAGCTTTGCCTAAGCCTAGCATTATAGTCCTTAGTTCGCTTTTTGTATTCGCTACCTGCAGACGCACTGCATATCACCTGGTAAACCACCAGCCACGTAACTTTCTATTCGTTGTATTATATATATTTATATTAACAAATAGTTTTGTAAATATATATCGTCGTTGTTTTATATCGCGATTCGAAGCTATCAAAAAAGCTTGGTAGCTCAACATACCTAAAATAGAAAAAAATTAAATAATACACTTACAACTTAAAAGTGCGAGAAGCCTGCAAGTTGTTATTAAAAGTATTGAGCCAAGTTTTGAACCCATGGAAATCCTCGAAGCAAATTGTTTGATGGAATGCAAATGGCATTCCTCGCCATAAACTAGAGCTGTCAAAATTTCCAAGGGTAAGGAAATTGATATAATGCTTCTTGCAAAAACTCACCTAACTAATAAATACAACTTGAATGTAATGGGATATATCTTCTATTGTACGAAACATCCAGATGGAAAGGCGCATGGTGGAACTGGTATCTTAATCATTAAACACCATTCCTGAACTGGAAATATTGGGAATTATCTGTAAGCATATCGATGTTGCGTGCAGACAAAGCAAGGTGTCCGCCGTATATTGTCAGTTTCACGATAACAGAAAAGCACTTTATAGATTTGTTCAGCTCGCTGGGAGAGTGCTTTATTGCTACAGGTGATTATAATGCCAAACACCGTCACTGGGGTTCCAGGTTATATAAGCCTAAAGGCAAGCAATTATTTAACGTCCTTATATGTAAAAGAAACAAACGTGTTTACGTTTCTCCTGGAAAGAATACATATTGGCCGGCAGGCGCGAAAAAGCTGCCAGATTTAATTGACTTCGCAGTAACCAGGATAATTAGACACAGCTTTGTTACTGCAGAAACAAGAGCAGACCTCTCATCAGACCACTCAGTTTTCTTCACTTTGCGGCATCAGTCACACTATAAAGAGTTACCTTGTATGCACACGTCAAAAGCTACAAACTGGTTAATGTACAAAAAATACATCAGCACACACATAGAACTCGAACCAAATTTAGATACACTGGTCGATATTGAAAACAACATCGCATCATTCGAATCAACCATTACAACACCCCCCAAAATTTAAACTCCTCAAAAAGGCTATATGGAACACAAAAAGTATAGCTCAACTAATAGGGAAATTGAAATACTCGTATTACAAAACCGACGCCTACGAAGGAAGTGGCAGGTTCATAGATTACCAGCCTAAGAGCAACGGTTGAAAACGGCCACACATGCATTGACGAGAGCTCTCAGAAGCGAGGAACAGGTGTCAGTATATTCAAAAACTGTCACCGACTAGTACAAAGCACATCAAACTCAAAGTGCGCCAATAAAGTGTGAAATGCCAATACGTGACAATAATGGCAAATGGGCTCGGAGTGATGCATAAAATTCAACAACCTTCGCTGCTCATCTAAAAAATGTCTTCCAGCCAAACCCAGAAAATGATGACTTTACACTTCCAACCGTACCCTATGTGATGGAATATGACGCAGTATATTCGTACTTGAAGAGATATCAAAAATAAAAACGCAGCCATCTTCCTATAGGCCCATCAGCTTGTTATCGTGCATGTCGAAATTATTTGAAAGACTTCTTATGCTCCGCATTAAGCCACATCTTCAAATCCACAACATAATACCATCTCACCAATTAGGCCTCAGGGAAAAACGTAGAACGATCCAGCAAGTATATAGGATCACATCTGAAATTCGAACAGCTTTTGAAAAACGACAATATTGCTCTGCAATATTTCTTGATGTCGCGCAGGCTTTTGATCGAGTATGGTTTGATGGTCTTATGTACAAAATAAAAACGCTACTCCCGCAAAACACCAACGAATTGTTTAAGTCCTACCTTTATGATCGCAATTTTGTAGTCCGATGTAACACCACTACATCTGAAGCCCAAACTATTGAAGCTGGAGTACCACATGGCAGTGTTCTGGGCCTAATATTGAATATTTTATATACTTCAGACATCTTAGTAAGCGACCGCTTGACTATGTCTACTTTTGCCGATGACACTGCAATAATCAGCCGCTCCAAGTGCCCATTTCATAGGAAATCGTATTGAAGCCGTGGCCAACTGGCTCGAACACTGGAGGATAAAGGTTAACGAGCAAAAACGTAAGCACGTTACATTCATCCTAAGCAGGAGCGGCTGTTCGCCCTTGACACTGAACAAAGTACAAATACCACAAAGCAATCATGTTACTTACCTAGAGGTCCATCTGGATAGGCGACTTACTTGCCGGACCACATAAAGGCTAAAAGGACTTAAGTTAAAAGCAGTTTCTTTGCACTAGCTTATTAAGTCTCGCTCAGCCCTAAGTTTGGAGTATAAAGTCATTATATACAACACTGGTTTAAAACCAATCTGGACATTTCGGTGTGAGCTGTGGGGCAACGCGAGTACCTGCAACATGGAAATTCTTTATCGTGCGCAATCAAAAATTCTTCGTATAACCACGCCCGAAATATCCGAAATGACTTAAGAATTCCAGACGTACGAACTGAAATATAGCAACAAAGGGCGAAATATGCATTGAAACTTTCCTTTCACCCAAACAAACTCTCGTTATTGCGTGTGAACGGGATCTCAAGACTACGTAGAAACGGTTTACCAGCCCAGACGTAATATATTATAGGCCCAGTTTAAAGAATAATCACCCATGTAGTGTACGAAAACTCACCTTCTAGGTCACTCATACTTTTTGTTAAGACGAAAAATGCACAAGATTCAGTACAATCGTTATAAAGGTTTTATTTGATGCAAAATGCACTTAAAACTTGTTGTTACAAAATTAGTTTTAAACAGTAGTTTAAAACATTGAATATACATATATTATATACTATATATATATAAAATGATCAAAAACGGAAAATAGCCGGTTCTAAACGTTAAATATATATATATAGGCGAGTAACTGCGGAAGGGAACCGGGATGCTGCGAAAAGCGGAGGTGTATACCGATCGACGTCGTATCGACAAAAGGTGCGCGAGATCCTTTTTCTTTTCATTTTGTCCTAATTAGAATGTAGAATGTCATCATGATTTGGTACATGTGCTTGTGTGTGTTAATGTGTAATGTTCTCTCGCGTGATGAGGTGAAGGCGTGCTTTCAATTCGGTGTGGTGAACTGATGTAATCTGATGCGACGTCGCTACTCATTTAGCCATGTAAGATGTAAATTAAGTGAGTAGTTTAAGATTCGCAAACCTACTGATAGGCTCTAAAGTAGGGTGGAGTAGTAACTTGAATAAATAATAGTAAAGTTAATAAAAAAAAAGCTTAAGCAGTTGTTGTGAAAAATCGACATCAGTGACTCCATGAAGATAAGCTGTCATAATCGGCCGTAATTTTATATTTTCTATTAAAGTCTATAAGGGCGACAATAATAAGCAAGCTTTGATATCTGCTCGCGTACCTATGAAGTCTGTGGGAAATCTCCAGGAAACAGAAAAGTTATCCTGCCCATGAGAGCGGAATAGTTTCTAAAGTCTTACAATACCCTCTTTATTATTTAGTTGCAATAATGTATGATCTATTTGTATAAAACCTTCATTATAAATGTCCTCATTACATGATAAGGTTAATTCTTGATTTTGCTGTTGGAGTCTATGTATAATACTTGACATAAATCGTCTCTAAAATTTTCCCATAATTTTAATACTTTCGAAGGTTGACAAAATAAAAGTATGAAGACAAACAACTCTCACAGTTGTACTGAACACTGCGAAATTGATGCTTCTCTGAGAGTATTTTCACAATAATCATCGTTTCGGATGTACACCGTAGACTTTATTATTATTTCAAGTTTACGTGTCATAATTAGGTACAAAAAAATTCTAAAATATCCCAGTTCTAGAAATATGTATGAAATATTAATATACCAAAATCTAGTTGATAGACAAAAAATACCTCAGCCAAATAATTATACATACATATAATATGTGCAAATATATACACAGTTGTTGTTGTTGTAACTGCAGAATTCTGCCGAGTTGACAGTCCTTGGCCGGATAAAAATCCGGTTCCGTTCCGGTTTTCGTAGACCCGACTGTCGTGGGAACGGATATATATACAGTATTACTTTATGGTGTAGTATCATTTTCACTTTATAAGTTTGTGACCGCATTATTTCTAATGAAGTAAGTCGCAATTTACTTTGTGTTCAAACTGATACCAAGTGAACATGTGAGTAGAAATATTGGAGAACAAATACTGAAAGTAAATATAGTAAAAAAAATATTTTAATTTAATTAATAAGAAAAGATGTATGCCTTACGTATGAAAATCGAGTGCCTAACCCATGCCTGAAACATCGTAAAAATATGAAAATTGCATTTTATGAAAAACATAATTTTTGGGACGAAGAATTCGAATCTGTGGTTTTCAGTGACAAAAATAAATTTAATTTAGACGGAGTAGATGGTTTTTATATTTATTAGAGAGATTATAGTATTGGGAGCATTTTCAACATCGCGCCAGTCGTTTCTCCTTTCCGCTACGTGGCGCTAATTTAATATTCCAAGCGAAGCCAGATCCTTATCCAACTGGTTCTTCCAACGGAGTGGAGGTCACCATCTTCCTCTGCTTCCCCCGGCGAGTACTGCGTCGAATACTATCAAAGCAGGAGTGTTTGCGTCCATTCGGACAACATGACCTAGCCAGTGTAGCCGCTGTCTTTTAATTCGCTGAACTATGTTAATGTCGTCGTGTATTTCATACAGCTCATCGTTCCATCGCATGCGATATTCGCCGTGGGCAACGCGCAAAGGACCATAAATCTTTCACGGAACCTTTCTCTCCAAAAATCGCAACGTCGACTCATCAGTTGTTGTCGTTGTCCAATCTTCTGCACCATATTGCGGACAGGAATTATGAGCGACTTATAGAGTTTGGTTTTTCTTCATCGAGAAACTACTTCTCAATTGCCTACTCAGTCCGAAGTAGCACCTGTTGGCAAGAGTTATCTTGTGTTGGAGACTGGTTGGAGTGACATTTAAAGCGAAGATCGGAAAGAGCACTTACTTCATTGCTAAAGATTTCAGACTCATGGGACTCATTCTCGGAACGTAAAAGCTATAAAAAGCTTTTGCCCGCGAATAATAAGATTGATCTATTGATGACTTGTACTGGAATTCTTTGTCTATGCTGGCCCTTGTGTCAGGTTTGCTCTCGCGGCTGCTCTTTGTAGCGCTAAGGATATTGTGTTTGTACGTAAGCACGTCTTGTGTTGCCTTACAGTGTGAGCTGTCTAAAAGTTGTCCCCTTTGCACGTTTCACGGTAGAAAGGACGTTTCTTGCAGTATACTCATAATTAATCATCTGAGTTTCTCTTTCAATTTTCTTTCTACACACTCCGCCAGATGTTTTACTTTTCCATGTCTAACCGAGGTACTCTTCCCATATTTTAGAGAGCATTGACTTTTATTGTCCACGTTCCTGCATCAGATATTACATCAAACATTTTTAAAACTTCGATAACGGTTGTACTTAACACCCAAAACTAATCGAAATAGATATAGAGTTATATAAATATATATAAACGATCTGGATGATGAGAAAAGTTGAAATCCGGTTGACGGTCTGTCTGTCCGTGAAAGCTGTAACTTGAGTAAATAAATAACTAAATTTGCCAGAAATGTAAAAATTTTCCGACGGGTTAGTACGACAAGGGTTGTTAGGGGCGGAGTAAAGAATGGGCGTGGTGCCGCTCGCGTTTTGGTGAAATCCCATATTTCGGGACCCGAATGATATTCTTTTCATATTTCTATGTCACTCTGTGACATCGGGCAATAAACACGCCTACATCCCATATAGCACAATTTTAAATTCCACTTGATTCTTTTACTTTCCAGTACTGAAATCAAGAAGCAATCAATATAATGCGATTAAACTTTGCACGAATAATGCCTTTAGTGTATCCTACCTTATGACAAAAAATATATTTCAATCCAACCAAAATTGTTCGAGACCCTAGGTACCGAATGTGTGGACTTCGGTACCTATAGTTGACTTTTAATCAAAAATGTCGGCCAATGTGTAATTAACCCCATATACTTAATATAGAGAATTTCGAACTTCCGGATGACTTTGTTTGTTGTAGTGAAAACTCGCCAATCCGAATTAATGATTGCAAACCCCAATTCGGATTAGCGAAATATTCGGATTAGTGGATAGGCTATATTTATGTATTTTATTTCACATAAGATGACGCCATTCGAAAATAAAACTCGCGATAGTATTTCAGAACCAATTTTATTTATTATGATGTTTTTTTTAACGAAATTTGTGATGCAAGTTTGTGTTTCAATACACATGCTTCTAAAGCTTTATTACGCATTTCCTTGAGTACTAATATTTGATGGGGGTCTATGCCTCGTTGCTTTGCCCAATCTATACTTATATTTAAAGCTTGTACAGCTTCACGATTTTTAACGCGCTTAATCATATTAGATTCTGCTTCTTCGTCTTCTGTAACCAATTCTGAGCTACTACATGCAATCACACTACTGACAGAGTCATTAATCCAGGCAAGAACTTCATCTTCAGAAAGTTCCACGTCAGTATTGAGGAGAAATAAATTTGTGATTGCACGAAACTCTTCAATTTCTTCAAAACGAGCCGAAAGGTCACTCTCTGGTAATTCTTGTTGTAAGAATGACAATGGAATGTTATCTTCTGAAGGCCATCTCTGGGTATGAATATTTTTCCAACATGACTTTAGAGTGGAATCCGATACCCTGTTCCAAGATCGCTTAAGCAATTCACAAGCGTCGTACATACTGAATTGTTTCAAAAAAATGTCAGTACTGTCTGATTCAGAATTGACCAATTCACACAAGAGGTCTTTTTTGTAATAAAGTTTAGTCAGGCGTATCGCATTTTTATACATAGGTTGGATAATGCTAGTACAATTTGGAGGGAGAAACATAGTTTTATATT